TGTAAAAATTATGAAACTAAGATGCATATTAATAAACAATGTAAGGTCTCATCTTCCCTCTTAAGCACTACATATCATTGTTTACTTACCATTAAATTAAAGTATTTCTAACTTCAGTAAGAGCTACAAATAACAATGACTTTTATTATTGTAGATTTCCCCCAAAATGTTAGGTATGCTGCATTTAGTTTTTGCCTTCTTTTCGGTTTGATTTAGCTTTCTATATGAAATGCCACTCGAACCATGACTGTGTGAGTTGGTTTGTTTCTTTTTAAGGACACTCTAAACATATACTTTGTTTCATTATATCATTGAATACACTCAAGTAAATGGAAAAGACAAATTTTTTATCGTATACTGAAGATTGATTATGCATGTATGATGTAAAACAACTCTTATCATTGTTCTTCTTAGACATTTTTATATAAATATGACTTTGTTTGAAAATATGTATTTATGTTAGTGTAGTTGGACGTTGTTTGTCATACATTAAATACTTTCCTATATTATTCATGGAGAACTTTCCAAATTAAATAGTTACTTCAATCCTCAACAACATGAACCATAAAAAAAAATACCTCCATGTTTACTACACGTATACATGAAAATCAAACTCTCCCGGCCAAGAGGCTAGGGCTGGCTATTTGGTCCCGGACTGTTTGGTTTTACCCGAAACCGGACCGTATAACCCGGACCGGGACCGGACTGGGACCGGATAACAAACAATGCAATCTCAAGACCTAAGAGACCCGGATAAAGACCGGATAAGAGACCCCCAACACCTAAAATCAAGATAAAATTGGGACCGGACCGGATCAAGACCGGAGAAAATAAAGGAGTTAGAGGTAATCAAACTGAAATTGAAATTGTGTTTTAGCTTCTTATGATTATTTTGAAACCATTGGTAGATAGTCATGGTGTTTTCAGAGAAATCAAACTGATGAAACAGGTGACATACTGTTATGCTGTCAAGTGAAATCTCTATGTTGGTATTAGCTTCTTATGATTATAGAGATCTAGGGCATTGGTAGACCCCCAGCCTTTTCAGTTTGACAATGATGCATTCCTCATTTATCTCAGTTCAAGTTTAGCTAATAATGAGATTGGTGCATTTGTACAGGAGCCAGATTGAAGCCTCTAATAGATGATTGCGCCCTGGCCTTATCATTTTATATGTAAAAATGTGACTGATTAGGAGAATTTCTTCTACTCTAAATGTAACTAATTAGGAGAAAAGCACTTTAAACACTTTACAAGGAAGCCAAACTTATACTGACGAAGCTAATAAGTAATAGTTTATGCAGTCCCTAATAATTGTAATGTTCCCGGAATTAGTATACCTCTGTTTTAGTTGACATTCTGTTTGTTCTTTTCTCTGTAGTAATCTCATTACTAATTAAGCACAAATTCCCATTACTTCTACGACCAACATAAGGTGTGAACTTAAAAACAATGGTAATTTCATTATAGACGCACCAATTTACATTGATGCATGCCTCAATTATCTCAGTACCAGTTTAGCTGATAATGAGATTGGTGCATCTGTCACCTAAAATCATCCTTGCATTTTGCAACTGTCAAGAACCAGTTGATCCCAATAACTCGAGTTGTTGGGAGAGGTTCAATCGTGGATCATATACCACAACACTAACACGCCCCCTCAAACGAAAGCCACTCACAAGGGCTTGAAGTTTGCACAGGTCTGAAGACAAGAATACCATGTGCTTAACAAATGGGGGTCACCGGGAATCGAACACAAGACCTCTCGGTCACAGAAGGCTCTGATACCATGTCAAGAACCAGTTGATCCCAATAACTCGAGTTGTTGGGAGAGGTTCAATCGTGGATCATATACTACAACACTAACAGCAACTGCCTAGCAATAGTTCCCACCGATCGTTGTCATTTGTTTCTTTGTATTGCTGTTATATAATTTCCAGAAGTTGTCAAAACTTCCTTGCTTGATGATGGGAGACAAGGAACTGCCACACCAGTTTTGATTGAAAACCAGCAGAGAGACATTGAATAGAAAGAAAAGAAGAAAACATATAGAAGACAGCTACCATTTTAATGATCTGCCAAAGTTGTCTTTCTTCTTAATCTCTCTCTCTCTCTCATATTGTCTTATCTTATGCATAGTATGATTCCTTTTTATCCATTCCAGTTATGTTATTGTACTTTTATCCAAAATACATTGTTCTGCTTAAGTTCAAGGCTTTTCTATAGTCAGGTTTTGTGACTATGCTTAATTGATTCTCATGAATTCAGGGAAGCCAAGAAAGTTGAGGGCTTCATGTGTGAAAGAGACTGTTGTTTGTGAGTGTTCTGCGAGACTGGAGAAGAGGGGGAGCTCTTCATGCTTTTGACAACACAAGTATGATGTTACCGAGAGCTCATTGCTCATAAGAGGAAATGAAGATGACATGACTTCTATGAAATTGGTCTGTTCATTTAGCTGTCTTTAGAAGGTCATTGATTTATTACTCAATCATTCGGGAACTGTAATGTATGTGACTCAGAGCTCATTACTCCCCTTTTCTATAGATCTTTGAATGGTTTTAACTCTTACGTACTTGAATTTGGATGCATTAGAATGCATCTTTTGAAGTATAAAAGAAAGGTGATTAATATTTGAAGACAACTTAATGCTTTCTTTGGCAGCAACAGCCATCAGTATATTTTTCATATTTTGACACTCTTGAATGTTGTGTATGTTGGAAAAGGTAATAATGTTTAATTTAGTACCTGATGGTCATTTTCATCCTCTAAAACGTTGCTTTTAACTTCTTCATCCTCTAAAACGTTGCTTTTAACTTCTTGGTTGCGCTAGGTTAATTGATCATAAGCTGGACCCAATTTGAATGGATGAAAATGTTGTCGAGGAGTATCAATACTCTATAATTTCAAAACTATTCTAAAAAGCAACCATGAATAACTCTCTTCTAAAAAACAAAAAACTACTCTATAATTTCAAATGTGAATGTAAGTGCCGAAATATAGGTAATTTGGGATCTTAATTGGATATTTTCCAAGAATTCAATACACAATTTTACAATATGAGAGCATTTTTGTTTCGAAAAGCAACACTTATCTTTTTGTTATCGTGATAAATAAAACACAACACTGTGCGTTTTAAATGGTTTTTGTGTTATCATAGATCCATGAGACTCTTTAGCCCTATCTTCGAGTATGCTATTATCTCTGTTTCTTTCATCTTTCACTTTTCAATCATTGGTGAAATTTGGCTCAAGGCACCAAAAAACTCTCACTAGCTGCGTTTTTGCCCAAACTAGGATATTCTAGAAATTAAGTTATGCTATTTGCTTGTTTGGCTTCTCCAGAATGATGATGATGATGAGATAAAGTATATGTTATCTCTATAACGTTTGTTTCTCTCGTTTGTCTTTAAGCAAATAATCATTTGGAGACGAAATTGCACGTACGTCAAGATATAATGTTTCGAGAAGGTCGAGATCGATCATGTTCCGGTTACTGCTATGAACAATTTGGGTCCAAGGTTTTGCATCACTGACGAGGGAGTCCATTTTGGAAGTAGTTTGATAATGATCCATGACATTGAAATGAAGACTACTAGAATTAGCTAGCCGAGGGGGAGAAGAAAAAAAAAAAAAGGTGCGGGTTGGACACAACTTAAGCCCAGATTGCTAGTAGGGACATAAATCCAGGTAAAAAATCCAAAAGTACCACTGTTCAAAAAAAAATTTCCAAAAATACCACCCAACCCCAAAAAATTCCAAAAATACCACCCTTTTTCAAAAACCGCCACTCCACCCAGCGGTTTGGTCGAAAACCGCTTGTCGGGGGCGCGGTTTTGGACCAAACCGCGGGCCTAGGGGGCGGTTATAAAAAAACAAAATTGGACCAAAACCGCTGGGTGGGGTGGCGGTTTGGCCCAAAACCGCCACCCCAACCAGCGGTTTGGTCCAAAAGTTCGGTCGAAACTTCAAACGAACGTAACTTTGCACTCGGGTATCCGATTGTAGTGATTTTTTTTTCATTTCGCATAACTTTTTAAGATCTACAACTTTTACTAGGATGAAATTTTCAAAACAGGAACTATTTGTGGATATACGGGACCTTGAGAATAACTTTACCTTTACTTTTCAGAAATCCATGTACATTTTGAAATTATGATTATATTAAAAGTTGTAGATCTTGAAAAGTTATGCAGAATAAAAAAAAAAGTTCATAACATTCGGAGTTTGGAGCACAAAGTTATGGCCGCCCAAAGTTTGACGAAAGGCGAGACCCGGCGGTTTGCGGCTTGCAAGATCTCAAAAAGTTTGCGGCCTCCATTTTTTGAATCCGAATAACTTTTTGAGATCTTGCAAGTCTTAAACAGTGGGACTCCGTCTTCGTCTCGAAAAAACGTCATTTGCCACCCCGAACGACCTTTTTTTATTTCGTCAAACTTTGGGCGGCCATAACTTTGTGCTCCAAAATCCGAATGTCATGAATTTTTTTTTATTCCGCATAACTTTTCAAGATCTACAACTTTTAATATAATCATAATTTCGAAATGTACATGGATTTCTGAAAAGTAAAGGTAAAGTTATTCTCAAGGTCCCGTATATCCACAAATAGTTCCTGTTTTGAAAATTTCATCCTAGTAAAAGTTGTAGATCTTGAAAAGTTATGCGAAATGAAAAAACATATCGCTACGATCGGATACCCGAGTGCAAAGTTACGTTCGTTTGAAGTTTCGACCGAATTTTTGGACCAAACCGCTGGTTGGGGTGGCGGTTTTGGGCCAAACCGCCACCCCACCCAGCGGTTTTGGTCCAATTTTTTTTTTTTTTTTATAACCGCCCCCTAGGCCCGCGGTTTGGTCCAAAATCGCGCCCCCGACAAGCGGTTTTCGACCAAACCGCTGGGTGGGGTGGCGGTTTTTGAAAAAGGGTGGTATTTTTGGAATTTTTTGGGATTGGGTGGTATTTTTGGAATTTTTTTTTTAAACAGTGGTACTTTTGGATTTTTTCCTAAATCCAGCGCCTAGAAGAAGAGCAATTTGAACTCCGATCTGAAGTCGCCCACTGGCTTGTACTTTTTGGGCTCATAAAATCGGCTGCCAACAAATCCACGAGCGCCACGTATATTAAGATTCCCGACGACGCCGAGTTGAGAACGCCTTCCACTATCAGAGCAGTCGGACTGTTGTCTTTGTAGACCTTGGAAATCCCCATGCCGATCGCGATTCCAAGTGGAGTGGTGAAGGAGAAGAAGAGCGCCATCCATGCCACGCTTCGAGACTTGAACTTAGCCTGAAAAAAAAAAAAAACATAAACACACAACAGTACTGTTGAAATGAAGTAAAGTTATTATATATAAAGCTGAAGCATAGTTACTGTTGCCTAAAAATATGCTATTTTGATACCTCAAATTTTATTAAACTACAACTTAGTCATTATAATGTATATTTTACATTTTGATACCATAAATTTAATATTAGTGTAAAATTATTGAACAATTATGTTTTGGTATCTAAATTTTATGAGGTTTTCGTACCTACAATTTTTATATTCACATATTGGTCCAAGTACTGTTGCATAAAAATATGCTATTTTGATACCTCAAATTTTATTAAACTACAACTTAGTCATTATAATGTATATTTTACATTTTGATACCCTAAATTTAATTTTAGTGTAAAATCATTGAACAATTATGTTTTGGTATCTAAATTTTATGAGGTTTTCGTACCTACAATTTTTATATTCACATATTGGTCCAATGTTTATATTTCACTTGAATCCATGAATCCAATCCGCTAATCATTGTGAACCAATCCATGAATGCAATCCCCAATAACATAAAAGTATAAATATAGTTTGTATCATACAAGATATTGCATCACTCAATTGTAGGAGAAGATTCAACCATTTTATATTTGCTCATTACGTGAAACATTAAAAAATGATAAAAGAGAGACGATTCTAAAATATTGCAAGAGCGAATTTATAAACTAATTTAGTATATTTACAGGGTACTAAACAAACTTCTACTAACTACATGTAACAAAATATGCGACATCTACATAAGCAAGTTTCAATAAATTGCTACGGTGAAAAGGGTTGATTGTTGTATTGACGGCCAACTAAAAGAATTGGTCAAAACCTTTCTACCATCTACTTCCTCTTCCTTTCATTATTCACTCGCCTTCCATAACCCTTTCTTTATTTCTTTCTTTGTCTTCTTCGTCCAACCCTAATTAGTATATTATTTTATGTATTCTAATCACAAGTATGAATAGGTCATACACGACCGACCAACAATCTAGAGAATTAATAATTGAACCATGAATCACTAACCTTTTCAGCTCAAATATATATATATGGTTATTACTTATTAGAAAGTCGTCATTTTGCACTACGAGATTTGAAGGCGTGAAATTTTAAGCGAGTTTCAGTTTGTATTCTTTTTGCTTCTCTCTAGAATTTTTCTTTTTCACCCGGGCTAGAATTTTCAACAATTATACATATCAAATAAATAGTAAATAATTATCATCCTAAATATATCACCATAAAAGGAATTAAGCCTCAACTATGCAAATTACAATTGGTTACCTAAACTTAATAGATCTTTAGATCTATAACCTAAATTTTTTCGGCATATAAGTCCTCAAAATATTGATGGAACATTATATTTTAGTACCTAAAATTTTTGTGTATTACATTTTAGTACTTGAACTTTTGAAGTTCTACAAATAGGCCTAATTTTGTATGTGTAATTAAAACACCCTCAAATAAATGGGTATCTATACCCAAATCATACACATTTAGATTATGAAATTAAATATACATACCCTACCCAAACCCATATACAAACTTCAAACCCCATATATACATCACTCATACCCTATCCATAATCAATGGGTCTACTTGGGTTCAAGTAAATATCATTTATTAGCCAAAATTTTCAAAATTTTAAATGGATTGTTGACCGTCGTATATCTCTTCTCACTCAATATCATATTTTCAAGTCAATATTACTAACAAAACTGTTAACAAAAATTAATTTAATAATAACAAAACAACATAACAAGCCACACAATACATATCTATTGGCCATTTCCGCCCCGCGACAAGACGCAGCATCGCCACCTAATGTAATATGTAAGAAGGTAGTACTGGTGGCATGTGTCAGTTGGAGGGCGTGACATTAGATGGGAGGAGCGGCAAGAAGGCTATGTTGAAATTAGTAAAGTTTAATTAAAAATATTTAGAGCTCTATGGACATGTCCACAAAGCTATCTGGAGTAGTTGAAGAAACAAGTATCCTACCCGCCAACTACCCAAAATAATGTAAGTCTCATGTTTCAATAGCTCACACTAATAGGGCAGCCTAGAGGATTCCTAATGGCGGTGGAAGAGTCTTGGAATGATAGTATAAATAGGCTTGTGTGTTGTACGAATGAAAGCAGAGAAGCAAATAAGAGCAAGAAATACAAGGAATACCCACTCTTCCATAGCTCTCTTTCCCGCCTACACACTTCTCTATTTTTCCTTTGCCAATCACATTCATTCCTCCCATTAAAAAAAAAAAAACCAAAGCCTTCCTTCAACCCAAACAAACGTGCCTACCATATAAGTAGAGGAAATAATTATTTTATTTCCAACAGCTTGATCGGATCACTATCTTTTGGACAAGCAGTGAACGGAGACTTGGTTGAGCAGCTGACGAGTTGTGTTGCTTATGAGTTGACGCACCAGAAAACCTCCTTCGGATAGGGGGCTGTCACGGCTCCTTATAATAGATACAATACGTATGTACACGTATACATATACCTTTGTCATGTCAAATTTATTGCTTCCTGGTTTGTAGTGTTTGGTGGGGACAACTGATTACTTGGGAGAGCCACGAAGCGGCCAGAGGCCGTGGATGGTGAAACCATCCTGCTTGCTCTCCACTCTCGCATGGCATTTTTGGAAGCGGCACACAGCTGGCGGCCACTGCACCACTAGGTACATTAGCTTCACCTCGTTTGTCGGATCGTAAGAGGTGGGATGATGTCGTTGTTGGCGCTATGTTGTTCCTGTGGGTCGAGTACTGTTCGAAAAGCAGTCGCCGATGGAAGCAGCAGAGCAGAAGAGCGTGTGTACTGCAGAATTCCCGCAACTCTTTCTTCATGCGGGCTTGACCTTCCTTCATTTCTGCCGTTAGTCCAACTCCCTGCAAACGTATGGACACACGCTCTTTGTACACTGTAAATTAAATAGTGGAATAAATGGATACACACTCTAGCAAAATATTGCTCCTGTTTTGGCAGACCACAAATCCCGTGCTTTGTCTACTCGTGCTTCCAAAACTGTTGGTCCTTGGTCGGGGTGGTCAGCACAGGCAATACGACTTCAGATCCGGCTCCAAGTTAGTTAACCCATGATACATGAGTAAAATGTTATATAATATGATATATGAGTAAGCTTCAGAATTATTATATAACATGAGTAAAATGTTATATAATATGAGTAAAATTCATGATTGTTATATTACATGAGCAAGACTCGGAATTATTATATAACATGAGAAAAATGTTATACAATATCAGTAAAACTCACAGTTTGTTTTTTGTAGCGGTGATAAAGACCAGTTTTTCTTTGACTATATTTAGCCCGAGTTTTAGAAGTGCTTTTATACTTCAATAGTCGAAGTCGGATCAAACACTTCTTTAAACTCGACTTTTGAAAAACTCAAAAGTGTTTTTAAGGGCTCCTCTCTCTTGGCACTTGATCTCTTCCTGTTTTTTCTGTGGGAGATCAATATTTTGGAGTTTTTTCCTCAAGGTCTGGGAAAGGGAGAGAGGTTGGAGTTGGAATGAGCTATCCAACACTCCTATGTTCCTGTTTATATAGAGCTACAAACAACTATACAAAACAACAAATCCCAAGGAAATAAGTTGAGTCACGTCTAATGAACTTTAGACTGTTTGTTGAGTCACAATTATTGCTCCTGAAAATTCTAACAGACACACTAATAGATGGTAGAGATTCTCATGCTTTAATTTATACGGGAACATCCTTGGTAGCTACTCCTCAATGGGCGCAGACTTAGAAACAACGACAATATGTGGGCTCTAACTGTAATTATAATAAACCACATCTTGATTTGGACAACGGAAGTAAAATGCTATAAGGTGGTCTTCAAAATGTTATAAGCTGGTCTTCAAATGTATCCCTGACCTCTTTGAAATCATTGGTCTGCTATCAGTGCATGGTGAAGTAAATGCGATCCGTGTTTTTTTGCATGTTAAACGATTTAATTTTGGAATGTCTAGAATACAATAAATGAGTGTTTAATTTCTTCTTCTTGATTCATGTCGTGTCAGATGTTGGGTGTCATCTTCTAATTGATTTCCGATTTTATTTTCCTTGAAATCGTATTTTGTGGTTTCATGCGTTATTCAAACTAATTACATAATAGATACCCTAAAGTTTTGAATTATGTAGTCAATTTTTTTGGTTGTTTTATAATCTTTAGAAAGTTCATCATCTATTATGATTCACTCACTCATATTAATATGCATGTATTGTGTCTCTTCTCAAGATAAACAAATATTGGTTAAATGTTGTGGTTATGTTTTTGGACTTTGCTACGGTGACATGCATGTCACGGTGACATGCACTTTTCGGTCGACCTCATATAGGATCAGGTCGACCTAATCTGTTGTTTCGGTGTAAAAACAGTTTCATGGTGCCTACTTTGGAGATTCATATCTTACAATTGGCTAGATGGAAATTGGTGATTAAAGGCTTGTTTTGAAGCTGAAGTGTCCCTCTACACATTAAAGTAATTGGGAGCTCAATAGAAAGTCCAGAAGACCATTTTTGAACCTGACCAAAAGGCTATGCCAAAACTGGGAAACTGCCTGAAAATGGCTAAGTTTGGCAACGTGTTTGTCAAGCCTACTTTGGAGCTCAATTTGAGAAGCATGGATGAGAGTCAAGTCCAGGGGCCTCTACCACGTTAAATTACGTATTATTTTATACAAAGACAAGGCATTGGATGAAAGATTGAATATCTTTAAGGCTTCAAACAAAAGGCTCGAAGTTGCTACGAAGGCTGTTTTTCTGGCAGGTTGCTTGTGCTCGAAGTCTGCCAGAAAAACAGCCTTTCGTAGCAACTTCGACCCTTTTGTTTGAAGCCTTACAGATATCCAATCTTTCATCAAATGCCTTGAATTTGTATAAAAACAAACCTAATTTAATGTGGTAGAGGCTCCTGGACTCGACTCGCATTCATGCTTCTTGAATTGAGCTCCAAAATAGGCTTCACAAACACGTTTCCAGACTTAGCCATTTCTAGGCAGTTTCCCAGTTTTGGCATAACCTTTTGATGAGGTTCAAAATTGGTCTTCTGGACTTCCTATCGAGCTCTCAATCACTTCAATAGGTAGAGGGACACTCCAGCTTCAAAACAAGTCTTTAGTCTTCAATTTCCATCTTGCCAATTGTATGATATGAATATCCAAAGTAGGCACCATGAACTGTTTTTACACTGAAACAACATATTAGGTCGACCTGATCCTATATGAGGTCGACCGAATCCTAAATGAAGTCGACCAGATCCTATATGAGGTCGACCGAATTCTAAATGAGGTCGACCTAATCCTAACTGAGGTCGACCGGAAAGTGCAAGTCGCCGTGACATGCATGTCACCGTAGGCACACCCTATGTTTTTTCCTATTTATAAAACATTTTGTCATTTAAATTCATTTAAATTCTTCCTTTACGTAAATTTTCTTTTTAACCACAAAAAACTAATTGACTGGATTATTAACTAGATAGGTCATGATTTGCAATCCACAAGTGATAATTGTGTCATCTTAATTTCTTTAAAATTTAGCATTTCAAATAATTTTTAAAAATTAAAATTAATGTTGTGATTACTATATATTTAAATGACATTTCGGCAAACGAATCGGTAACTAACATACCGTTTGGTACAAATGAATTCCATAAGTTTGAGGAATTCATTTTAAAATGAAATATTTTTGTGTTTGGTATTAAAAAGAATTCATTTTCAATTCTAAATTTTGAATTCTACGGAATTGGAACTAGTTATAGCAATTCCGAGGAATTGAGATAGAATTTCCAAATGAATTCCACAAGTATTTACTAATCATAATAGAATGACATGATTATCATCTTTTATTAACTAAATTACTTATACATATGACATACCAAACATAGGATTTCATTTAACAATGAATTCTATACGGTAATTTATTTTATAATGAAATGAATTTTCGATTCATTTGGTACCAAACGGTATGTAAAGTAGTGTAAAACAATACCCCGGTATTAAACATCAAAATATTAGAACTTCCTGGAATCATGGAGTATGTGTATGGCTGGAAATGTGATAGACGTTGGAAGGTCATTGTGATTAAAAAAAAGAAAAAAATCAAGAGCCACAAGAGAGAGGCGGTTCCCAACTGCCACTTTTAATAAGCTCCTGATTTTTGTGTAGTGGAAGTAGTATAAATAGCTTGTATGGGTTTGTGTAATGGTGTAGCGCAAACAAAAAAGAAAGAAAGAAAGCAATAAAAAAAAAACTTCCTCTTCCCACATCTCTCTGCAAATTCCCTTTCCCAAATAAAGACCCATCAAAACATCCCAATTTCTTTAGTCAAAACAAACGTGCCCAGTGCCCACCAAATATATCCTCTGCCAATCCACTTCTCCCAAAACAAAATAAAACCCTTCCCATTTCAAAGGTCAATAAACGAGCTAACCCCACCAAAAGCCCACCTTTAGCTTTTCAAATCAAAAGGAAATAAATTAATTTATTTCCAACAAGTAATACATTAACAAATGTTATATAATATGAGTAAAATTCATGATTGTTATATTACATGAGCAAGACTCGGAATTATTATATAACATGAGCAAAATGTTATACAATATCAGTAAAACTCACAGTTTGTTTTTGTGTAGCGGTGATAAAGACCAGTTTTTCTTTGACTATATTTAGCCCGAGTTTTAGAAGTGCTTTTATACTTCAATAGCCAAAGTCGGATAGGGGGCTGTCACGGCTCCTTATAATAGATACAATACGTATGTACACGTATACATATACATTTGTCATGTCAAATTTATTGCTTCCTGGTTTGTAGTGTTTGGTGGGGACAACTGAGTACTTGGGAGAGCCACGAAGCGGCCAGAGGCCATGGATGGTGAAACCATCCTGCTTGCTCTTCACTCTCGCATGGCATTTTTGGAAGCGGCACACAGCTGGCGGCCACTGCACCACTAGGTACATCAGCTTCACCTCGTTTGTCGGATCGTAAGAGGTGGGATGATGTCGTTGTTGGCGCTATGTTGTTCCCGTGGGTCGAGTACTGTTCGAAAAGCATTCGCCGATGGAAGCAGGAGAGCAGAAGAGCGTGTGTACAAAGAGCGTGTGTACTGCAGAATTCCCGCAACTCTTTCTTCACGCGGGCTTGACCTTCCTTCATTTCTGCCGTTAGTCCAACTCCCTGCAAACGTATGGACACACGCTCTTTGTACACTGTAAATTAAATATTGGAATAAATGGATACACACTCTAGCAAAATATTGCTCCTGTTTTGGCAGACCACAAATCCCGTGCTTTGTCTACTCGTGCTTCCAAAACTGTTGGTCCTTGGTCGGGGTGGTCAGCACAGGCAATACGCCTTCAGATCCGGCTCCAAGTTAGCTAACCCATGATACATGAGTAAAATGTTATATAATATGATATATGAGTAAGCTTCAGAATTATTATATAACATGAGTAAAATGTTATATAATATGAGTAAAATTCATGATTGTTATATTACATGAGCAAGACTCGGAATTGTTATATTACATGAGCAAGACTCGGAATTATTCAACGGCGGTAATCCTCTCCAAGGCATTCTCCAGGATGAATCCCGTGGAGAGGATTACCCCGGCGGCGAATGCCTTGACGATGAAGAAAACCTTCTTGTCCGGGTGCAACGCCGGGATCTTTTTCTCGTCAACCACCGGGAGGAGGATCCCGATGGCACCCGCTGCCAGGATCGAAAAGAAGGCTCCCACCTTGTACTTTTGCGCCGTTGCATGGTCACGGCCCGAAGAATCATCAGCCGCGTCACAGTTCGCCAATGCTAGCGGCGGTGAAAGGAGGAGTGCAAACAGGAAGACGAGAGAGGCGAAAGAAGCACGGCGGTACTGATCCATCGCAGCGCAGCGGTGTTCTTTCTTTTTCTTGTTGCCTTTGTCTTTGACTTTGAGTGGTGGGAGATAGTTGATTTTGGTTCGGGTTATATAGGTAGCGGCGGAAGCGATCGAGAGTTCTGTTGGGGAAAGATTCTGTGACACTTTTTATATTGTTAGCATGACGATGACATTGTTGTTGCATAATTAGAGTTGTACTTTATTATTTTTAAATTGGTTAGTTTTACTCGATTTTGACAGTGTTATTTGGAATTTGAGTTGATTAAGACTCATAACCAGATGAGTAAGACTTGTAACAAGATCGATACATTTGTGTCCATTGTTCCAAAAGATATTCTCGTCTGCTAACTAATTTATGCATTTGCAACAGCATGCAGCTAAGCAATAGGGTCCCACTACCGGGAGAGAGGCGAAAGAAACGCAGCGGTAATGATCCATCACAGCGCAGCGGTGTTCTTTTTCTTGCGATCGAGAGTTCTGTTGGGGAAGGATTCTGTGACTATCGGATTTAATTAGTTACTTCGCCAAAGGTAAGGATGACGACACTTTTTATATTGTTAGCATGATGACGGGGTGGGATACGGTATCTTCCTTTTTGGTTGTGAGATTTACAATCAAAAATATTTTGGGTATGAAAAAAAGAAATTATTAATTATTTGTTTTGTATTAATTACATATTGGGAATTAAAAATTCATATTAAATGGAACTTGTTATTTGCCGCCAACAAAAAAAAAAGTATATATGTACATTTTTGGTTAAGGAGTTTCACAATCTACAACATATCCAATTTTCAGAAAACGTATTGAATCAGAAAAAATCGACGCTCGCTTGAAAAATCGCCGGAAAATCATCGGGAAAGCCCATCCTCGACGTAAACTGTGGACACGCATCCATGAATCATCACTAAGCAGGTGCGTCAATTTTTTTGTAGTTTCGAAAAAAAATTGGGGCCGCGACGCCGCTGGGCTGAAAGTCAACCAAAAATTTCTTTCGGCTTGGCAGAGTCCTGCCATAATTTTTTTCCGGCCCGCCGTGTTTTTCGCCGGAAAACTGAAAAACATTCCGGAAAATTGGAAAACTTGCCGGAAAAAGTAAACTTACTTGTTTTCCGACGATTGAGGGCGACGAGAGGTGGGCCGGCGACGGAGGCACTGGGCTCGTCGACAGAAGTTTTTGTTGGAATGAGTCAAATGTTAATGATATCCGAATTTATAGAATGAAAGGAAGGGAAAATTCAAGATTTGAATTCAAATTTTTTTTTTAGTTGGCGGCAAATAGCAATTTGGTTGGCGGCAAATAGTCGTTCACTATTAAATACATGTTTTTTAAATATAAATCCTACAATAAATATTACTCTCTCTTTCCTATCTCTCTCTTCCTTTTCTAGGAGACAGAACACTCCGACCGACCGACTTTGCGATCGACACACTTTCTCCGGCGAAATCCTCGAATAAGACTCGCTCAGGCCACCTACAAAAAATTATCGCTCCATCTGTGCGCTAGTGGTACGCTACCGCTACCACTGGTACCACCTCCAGTACAGCGGTACCACTACCATCTGGTAGTGGTAAAGTACCATTGTCATTTGGTACCATTACCTGGTAGTGGTACGCTACCACTACCAGGTACCAAATGGTAGTGGTACCAAAAGATAGTGGTACGATACCACTACCAACTACAAGATGGTAGTGGCAGCGTACCACTACATCTAGTACCACTATCATGAAAAAAAAAACAGATCTGAAAAACCAAAACTCACAAATCTGAAAAACGAAGGGGAGGAGAGGAAGAGTATAGTGGTAGAGGGACTCACACCGCAAGAGACAGGTAGAGGAGGCACGATGGTGGCAGCATGGGGTGAGGGAGGAGGAGGATTGCGACGAGGACCTCATGGCGGTTGTGGTGGGAGTTGGAGGAAGGGGGAGACGAAGGGCGCGACAGGGGTTGAGGGTTGTAGGAGGGCTGCGGAGGGGGCACCGGCGACGATGGTGGTTGGGCGGCGGTGGTGGCTGGACGGAGGAGATAAGGAGAGGGAAGGGGACAGCGATGGCGTCAAGCTGCCAACATTAGTACATCTGCCCCCATCGATCACGACAACAGTAGCCTACCCTCAACCGTACAATGATTGTGGAACAAATTGTCTCGTTGTTCTTCGTCAGCGCAAAAAACAGAGTAAGAGCTCGACGATTTACACCGAGTAGCTTGCTTGCGGGAGGAGTTTCAGCCTCTATTGACTCGTCAATTTCATAGTCTGACTCGCTCTTTTCTTCCCTGTCCTCCTCTGCTTCATCTTCGGAAATGACTTCCCCATTTCGAAGCACCAAGGCCTTCTTATTTGGACACTGGTTGGCCTTGTGGCCTCTGCCGAAACATTTAAAACATTGTATGCTGCTTGTAGAGCCTCCTACCTTCTCCGGATTCGCTGGAGTTGTATTTCGATATGCGGGCTTGGCTGGTTCCATCATGGGCAACTCAGAATTGGGTACAGGGAATGCTCAGACACTGTTTTTGAAGAGGAGGATCCCCTTCCTGCACTTGTCCGTTGCTGTTTCTCCACGTTAACCGCAAGATGCAAAACTTCCTCCAGCTCGACGAAAGGTCACAGCTCAACTTCCAGCCGAATTTCGCGATTCATTCCATGAAGAAACCTAGCAATGGTGGCTTTTTTGTCTTCCCGGATATCAGCGCGCATCATAAAGAGCTCAAGCTCACGAAAGTATTCTTCAATTGATTTTGATCCTTGTCGTAGTTGCTGCAAAGACTAGTACAGGTCGCGCTGATAATATCTCGACAGTCGACACAAACCTTTCTCGAAAGGGGACAGCTTACGGTGATTACTATAAAAGTAGTAATCACCGTGTGTTACTAAGGGTAAATTGGGTATGGAAAAATAAATTATATTAATTAATTTTTAATTAATTACATTAATTAATTTTTTAATAACTTACATTTTAGGTAGTTACAAAAATCTATTAATTAAAATTCTCTCTTTCTCTCACTTCCGTAATCTCCAGTCAGATTTTCTTTCCATATTTTTCTCAATCTTTATACAAAAAAAAAAAACACGAAATCAGTACCAATCCATTAGACAAACACTACCACTTTGAAAAACATCAATACCATTGCAGAAATAAATCTATACCATTACACGAAAACTACCATTGCAAAAATAAATCTATACCATTACACGAAAACTACCAATATAAACAATCTATACCATAAACAATCAATACCATTGTAGAAATAAATCTATACCATTACACGAAAACTACCAATATAAACAATCAATACCATTGCAGAAATAAATCTATACCATTACACGAAAACTACCAATATAAACAATCTATACCATTGCATATAGTAACCAATACCACTGCATATTGAATCAATAAACAAAATTACTAGATCTAGGTTTTTATGTCTATTTGGTATGTACGTTGTGATGGTAGAGAGAAAGAAAGAGAGAGAGGGAGAGGGAGAGAGAGAGAGCAGAGAGCAGAGAGAGAGAGAGGGGAGGGTACCGAGGGTGGTCGGGGGATGCTGCCGGCGGTGACCGAGGGTGGTCGAGGCTGCTGCCGGCGGTGCGACGGGAGCGATACGTGGAGACGGCTGCGACGGGTTTGGCTGGAGGGAGGATAGAACTAGGATTTAGGTAGATTATATAGAATAATCAGGTGTTGTCACTTTTTAATTTCCAAAATTACCCTAAAAGAATCTTGACCGTAAGATTAAAAAAGAAGGAAAAATAATTAATCAAATGGTATATAAAGAGGTTGCCACCGTGATTACTAAAAAACAAGTAATCACCCTAACCCATTCCCGCAATAGACCCCAAATGCTCCATCCAGGTTGTGATTTCAGGTTGCAGGTTCCTCCGACGGCGGAGCTGGGTCTTCTCCCACCATTGCGCGGCGTAATCAGTGAACTCATACGTCGCGAGAAGTACCTTCTGGGTTTCGCTATACTCACCACATTGAAAGAAAAGGATCATCTTTCTCTCCCAGTCCAAATATGCTGAAGCATTCATGGTTCCTGAGAAAGATGGCACTTGTAGTTTAATTCCCTTCAAATCGGCGACTTGGTTCCCCTGCCCTGCTTCGGGTGGTTGAAATTCTTCATCGCCCTGAGCTCGATTCTGTTCGGGAACAAGCACCTGCCCTGCAACGTTCCTCTGTATCACAGGGTCATTCGTCTGGCTCTTAGTTCGGCCAGCTGTTGATTTAGGTTATCGAATTGCGTCTGAATCGCCGTATTTTGCTGTGCCAAGATTGTGCGAAGCATCTCCGTGATGTTTGGCGGCGCCTTCCATTGACAACGTCGTCGTCCCCACCATTGCTTGAGACGCCGCTGAGTAGAACCAGGCTCTGATACCACTTGATAAGCCCCAACCCGCAAGGCTTGTTGAACACAGCTTAGAAATCGGATTTCTTAGCAAGAAAACAGAGTAACAGGGGAATGGAAAGGATGGTTCGGAGTGCAACTTCAACACCCCACACGAGGAAGAGGCTCAACCGAATTCAAGGTAGCAACTTGACCACGATTGAGGTGATGACTCAATTGATACAAGGCTCACGTGTTGCTGGTGATTTGAACCGAGCAACAAGGACAATCCACGAGTTGAAAACTCAATGAACAAAGTTCTTAATTGATCAACGTCTGACCATTACAATGGAGTTTGTAGGTCTTTAAATAAGCAAACTAAAACCTAATTCGAGTACAAAATAAACAAGGAAAGCTAATTAATCCTACTACGTCTAAAGGTAACAAACCCAAACTGAAAAGGAATCCCAACTCGTCCATAATACCCAAAACTTGTAGCTTACATAAGCTGCCTCCAAAACAGGTTCCATAACATCTTTGACCCTCACGTTCACATCCCTCCAGGTCTCCATCTTCTTAGCCAATACCTTGCTTCTGTAGACAAACAAACACACTTTCATGTGGTACAAAGATCCTTCCCTGATTCGAACCCATCTTCCCTAAATGGAGCTCCAAAGTGACCTTCCTGACCATGCCTCCAGACTTAGCCAAATTCTGGCAGTTCGGCAGTTTTGAGACAACTACTTTGAGGCCTTGAAACACAGCCTTAATGACCTTGTATGAACCCGAATCCCATGCCATCTTGTAGAGGAAGTTCTTATCTTCAAAACAACACCTTAACCTCTCATTTCTATCAACCCAATTGGAAGGTTCGAGCTTGCAAAGTTGGCTACCCGAACTCATCATAATACTTAGTAAAAAATTCAGATTGTGCAAATGAGTTAAATTAGCTTCTTGAACAAACAAATCTAACTTGGAATGTAAGCCATCCAAGCTCATATCACCTTTCCTTTTCCTTTAATTCCGTTTGCCTTGGTAGCGGGATCTCCACCTCTTCATGGGACTTGTGAAGCACTTCTGGGGTCACCTTCCCACTCCTCAGTGTGATGGCATGCAACCCCACTCTCTGGTCATATCGATTTTGAATAGTATGACCAGGGAGGGTGCCTTGAGGTTTGTTGGTCAGAGTGATGCGATTTCCCAAGGGATTGCAAAGGGAAGACCCCCGACCAGCAGGAAAAGAATCCCCGACCGAGGAATTAAAGAGGAGGTCGGGGATTTGGGGCAGAGGCACCTCCGATCAGTGGGAAATAATCCCCAATCGGGGATTGAGACATGATGAGTTTAGTTATCTTTTTGTGTGAGGATTCTTTCCATTTTGGTGTTTTTATTAGCTTTATTTTTCCAGACCTATTTAAAGGATTATAAACACGAATTTTAGGATATTAGACTTTGATTAATTGAAAAATCCTTTAATACATTAAGCATTTGTCTTGTGAATTTTGCTCTTGTTGTTGGCGGAGTCCAATCACGTTGAGTGTGTCTCTATCTCAATCAAGTATCCATCTTGATTGCGGTCAAGCTTCTACACTTATGTTGATAGAGCTTTCGACCAGGTGTGAGATTGCACTTTAATTTCACTCTATCCTTTTAGTTTTTCATATTGTTGAGGAAAGTTCAGAAAACCCTAAAAAGATTACGGTTGCGTGACTTTGATAAGTACGGGTGGCAGAACCGCAGAAGGAGTTTGTGGAGTTTGAATAATAAATCACTCAGAAATAATTCTTGATCGGAAATCGGGGTTTGAGGAGTTTAGTTACCTTTTTGTCTTAGGTTTTTTCCCCTTTTTGGTGTTTTCATTAGTTTTATTTTTTCATACCTATTTAAAGGGTTCTAAACACGAATTTTGGGGGATAAGTCTGATTAATTGAAAAACCTTTGGTTCACTAATAGTTTGGCTTGTGAATTTTGCTCTCGTCTTTGGTGGACTCCAATCGTGTTGAGCAAGTCTCTATATCAATCAAGCATCCATCTTGATTAGTGGTCGAGTTTCGACCCTTATGTTGAAAGAGCTTTCTCTCGTGCTCCTATCAAGTGGTATCACAGCCCCGGTTCAAAATCTGTGGCAAGGAGAAGATCTTATCAATGGCAAAAGAGTTAGAGCAAGGTAATATGTTCTATACTCATTGTTTGGTTCAAGAGAAGATATATTTTGTGTTTGTAGATGGAGGGATCAAATCAAATTTGATCAGCTCAAGAACAACAACAAATTTGGGGTACCAATGCGTCTACATCCAACTCCATACATTTTACAGTTTCCTAGCAAGAAGATTTCAAGCATCATGGTTGGAAAGGTTTATGTGAAATTCGTGTTTGGCAAATATGAAGATGAGGTATGGTGCGAAGTGGTATACCAAGTTTTGTAGTGAAGCCTGGTGCAAGCAGTCCACTCTCTAAACCCATTGGTTATGCCATGTCAAAACGCCACCGTCCACTGAACTCCAACAATCCCCTGACAAGGTCTCGATGTAGTGGGATATAGTGTGGGTACCCAAAATCCATGAGATCCTATACCAGTGCTCCTGATCCAATTTTCCTTCTCATACCCTTAACCAAAAAAGCTCGACCTCTTAATGACCCTGGCCAGCCCCAGAATGGTAACAAACATACCTTTGCATCCTTGATCAAGGAAATTGGAAAGTACTTTCCCTAAACAAGAGGGGTAACAGCGAGTCGAGTTCCTTTTCAGAGGTTAATTCCTGATTAAACTCCTCAAATCTACTAAAACCCAAACCACCCTCAGGTTTAATCAGACATATCAATTTTCCAGCCACCCGTTGAATACTCTTATCACCCTACTTCACTTCCCCCCAAAATATGGCCAAATGCATATCCAACACACAACATAAAGAAAGAGGTAGTAGGAAACAAGACATAACATAGATGAGTAAAGCATTGGCAACATACTTAATAAAGACCTTATCCTTCCAGAATAAACAATGGTGCTACCAACCCTGAAGTCTCTGAATGTATGTTTCCGCTATATATCTAAACGTTTAATACTAGTAGGGACAATGGTGCTACCAACCCTGAAGTCTTTGAATGTGGTTAGTTTTTTTCCCATCGCCTAGGATCTCCGCATCCATGTTTATATATCTATTTAGATGGCATGTCGCCTATGAGTTTTGAGCATCTATGGATACTTCCTGGAGGTTCCTACGATTTTTGTAGGTAGATGATGACAATTAGTAGTACAAACTAGTAGGGACATAAAGCCAGCTCCTAAGACCATCCACAATGTGGGATGGTGAGAAAAGTGGGCAAAGGGAGGGCTTGGTCACAATGTGAGGGTGGGAAAAAGGGGTAATTAGTTGAAAACCTTTTTTTAAAACAATCAATCTATAGTTGATTTCATCACTTTATTTTTATATAATGATCATTATTTTTATATAGTTAGTGATAATTAATTAATACAAACAAACAACCAAACAAACACTAAACCCTAAAAACAAACATTAAATCGTAAAATAATAACAAAAAACAAAAGAAAAAGCAACCTGACGCGTGACCCACCTCCCTCTCTTCCCCCACCATTTGTCCTCTACCGGTGGGAATTCTCACCCACTTTCCCATTTTTTCTCATTTAGCTCCCACATTGTGAGAACATTTCTCACTTTCCCATTTTACCAACCCACGCTGTGGGTGGTCTAAAAGAAGAGAAAAAAATCTGTACTTTTGGGTTCATGAATTCGGCTGCCAATAGATCCACGATGGCCATGTATATCAAGATTCCAGATGAAGCCGAGTTGAAAATGCCTTCCACTATCATAGCAGTCTGACTATTCTCTTCGTATACCTTGGCACATCACTTGCCACTAAGAGTCATATCTATCCAAAAATGGAGGAAACATATACAATAAAATAACCCTGAACATCACTACATCAACCAATCATTCATGCAACACTACATTAATTTAATCTTTAATCACAAGAAACAGTGATCAGCAGACTTGATTTGCTTTCCAAATGCCCTTTAGCATCTCTCCTTTCAAATCCAGCTCACCAAAGATTGTCATATCAACTTACCTTTTACAGCAACAATATTCTTCACTTTAAACTTGAGGACTGCCCACTTTACACCAAACACTTCTGCATTTTCTCAAAGGGTTGAATAGCCTGCTTTACAATGATCCAAACAAGGAACTGATTCTTTGGGATAGTTGGCCCTTTCAAGTTGATGTAATATAACAGGTTGATGTCTAGGCCTAACTTCATCCCATATTTGTTTAAGATAGAACACACACATAGTATTTCCCTTCCAAAATACTACTCCATTACTCACACAAAACAAAGGCCTTACTAGGTCTCTAATTCTAAGTATCTTCCTCCAATTTCAAGACTCAGCCTTACTCTCATAATGTCATACATTTATGCTTTTTAGCTTATATTGATAAATCCATGCATCCCACAGTGAACCATGCTTCAACAAAATCTCCCATATATGCTTTAACATACATGCTATATTCTAGCTCTTTATGCCCCTTAAACGCAAACCCCCTTCATGCTAACAATATAAAAAGTGTCGTCATCCTACAATGTGCTCGACAGTCTGCACTTTAAATAAAAAAATCACTAAAATGTTGACATTATCCAGCTATACAGTCTGCACACTTGTTACCCTCTCTATAGACATGGGAAAGTGACACATCTCAATCTCTCTCAAGCAACTCATGGAACCGTGCAACCACTGCTGAATGTTGGTGATCCTCGCCATGTTGGCCTCTGATAATCTGAATTGCACACTAGGAATCGAGCTGGACTCTAACCCGATGAAAGCCACGGCCCCAAGCCAGCTGAAGTCCCTCTACAATGCTTTTCAACTCAGCTCGGATGACAGAACAGATCCCGAGATTAATAGCAAACACTGCCAAGCAACACCCAATATGAGAATTTACTATAAGTACGAGTGTACTTTGAGAACAAAAAGCTTAGAATGAGATTAGGATTTGGGATAGGGATGGATGGTAGAGGTCTTCAGACACTTGCAGAATCAGGTTCGTCACTTTCTCTCTCTAGGTCGCGCTTTTTCTCTCTAAAACTCGGAACCCTTCACTTTTGCCTATCTTTTCCCTCAAGAAGCTGTCTGTCGCGATCCCCGGTCTGAATACCCGGTCGGGTATTTTGGGTGGCGGCCGGGTATATTCAAAACGCACTGTCGAGGAACAGGGGAAAATACCCGGTCAATGCCTAGAATCCCCGATCGGGGATTTAAGCCTCACGGCCGGGCCCCCTTCTTCTTCTCAACGTCCAAAATGTGAATTCCCCGGTCTGCTCCAAATAATACCCGGCTGGGTATTCCTGCTCATGGCCGGGTATTTTGCTCCTCCAGCACACTTCGACCCAAACGTGCTCCTTTCTACCCAAAACTCGTTTCTTCGCCTCGATTCCAATGCCAAGCCCTGAAATATGACATAAACGCACAACCTCGCGTGAAATCAGCTTAAAACACGAGAATCAACGGCTCAAGAATAAGGGTAAAAACATGTGCAATCGATGGTCTATCAAGTCATCACATCTAGGACCCGGGTTGACAAATAAAGCTAAACCCGCTATACTATGCATTAGTTGCTAGTTACATTTGGCCACTTTCTAGTGTGACGGTACAGACGAGTCATAAATGGAGCAAAATCAAATCTCCACTGAATCATGCCTTGAAACACTAAGATCAGATAGAGACAACTATCTAGTTAGAAATCATCTTCCTAATCAATTATTTTAGCAAATCAGCTTAGAGTCTCCCCAAAGAGCCATTATCTCATCACTCTTTTCATCCCCCAACATATGATTCCTTCTTTCCAACAAGACACCATCTGAATACGCAGAAACCATTAGTTCTTCATGTGGTTAGCTGAAAGTAGCAGTTAAGCTAGGCAGAATGGAAGAATTTACAGACTCCAGGAGGACAAAATGGCTTTCACCTCCACCTCCACCTGCACTTGCACTAACACCAACACCTTCCTCCCTTAGTTTTGCTATGTTAAGCATTTTCATGTTGTTGTAGGCGACGAATGGAGAAGAACATGAAGCCCAAACTCCAGCATTAGATTATCATTGTCACTAAAACCGCCAATCTCACACCAAACCCATACAAGCAAATCTATATCTCAAAAGAGCAACAGAAAGTAGAGCTGAGTTTGGAGAACAGAGTAACAGATAAACGAGTTGCTTGATCTCGAATCCATGATGCCAGGAGAGGAAACGAAATCTGGCAAACCCTAAAACCATATCGGAGAAGGGTTGCGCTACCCAGATGCGCCAATTGGGAAATTCTTGATCTAGAACAAATGGATGATTTTGCTGGCGCCGACAAAGGGATGGCAAAGTCTGTCCTCTCGTCTGCGAAGGTTGAAACTAGAGACCAATCAAACTGCAAAATCCAAAATATCAGTGCGAGAGGACAAACTACTCCTTTGGGTTTTCGGGTCCATATCGAGTTATCGGTTTATAGCAAAACCGAAATCGCTACATGTTTCTTTTCGAGTTGAAATCAAAAAACCAAAACGTCAGTATTCTTATCGGTTCGGTTAAAACCAAAAACCTGAACCCAATCTAACATTGTTAATCATGTTATTATGTTATCACTATAATCATTATATTATCATTATTGTTGACAAGAAATTAAAGAATTGCTCAAAAAGGGCCTTATCAGATCTAGCCAATCCCCTTGGAGTTGTTCTGCTTTCTATGTCATTAATAATGCAGAAAAGGAACGTGGCATTCCTCGTCTTGTTATAAACTACAAACCGTTGAATAAGGCTCTGAAATGGATTAGGTATCCTATCCCCAACCAAAAAGATATCTTTGACACTATACGTCGAACCTTGATGAAAGGGGTTGGTAGGTGGAATAGTCACATGAGGTTTCTCCATGTGCTCATGAAGCTTTTTGAAATATTTTTCTTTGAGATGCGGATTATCAATATTATCGATTAGATCTAAAATAAGCTCTTGATCTTTAGTTAAAACATTGATAGAAGATTCAGAACTTTCATCGATGTCATCAAATTGTAAGGCTTGAAGATTCTCATCATCATCATTAGAAGAAGAAGAAGAAGAAGAAGAAGAAGAAGAAGAAGAAGAAGAAGAATCCTCATGAGAAGAGTAGTGTTGGAGAAAAATATTATTGATTTTGTCATGAATCTCTTCATCAAGATTAAGCTCATTGAGCTTCTTTTTTATACGACAATATTTGGAAATATGAACTGTTTTCCCACAACGAAAACAAGTAATGTTTTGATTTTCATTGGTAGATCGTGATCCCTTATCTGGGCGGGGATTCCTAGAAAAATGAGATTTTTGATTCGCGGTTTTAAAAGATCGGTAGGGACGATCGCGATGTTTTTTATGAGGTTTGGTGCTACAATCCTCACAGTTAGATTTGGAGGAAATTTTTGAATAAGATTCATCAAACTGAGCACAAAAAGATCCTAATTCTTTTCGAGTTAGTTTTTGTTCTCGTTTGATTTGTTTTTGAAGTTTTAATTCATGGCAAATTTGTAATCCTTCTTTTTGTATAAAGCTAATAAGTTCTCCGTAAGTAAGTTACTCATAAGGAATTTGACCATTAAAAGTGTCTTGGATTTTGTTTTGGATTTTATCTCCTAAGAGACGGGGACAACCGGCTAAAACTTCTCTTTCCAAAATGGTTGATTTTCATCTTCTCTTTGCATAACCCTAGTTAAAAAGGTATCTTTGTACCATCGGAAGTCATGAAATTTTTTACAACGAAGATTAGAAAGTAGTTCGGCTGTGAAGGATCTCCAATAAAATGTTTTGAAATGGTAAAAATCAGAGATGCAACTGCATCTTGAGAAGATTGTTTATTAGAGTCTAAAATAGGAGTTCCAGAAGAATCACATTTGACAGTTGTAAAAATAGTTCTCTGGTCTTTCGCGGTTAAGATATTATCCCACCAACCCTTCAATTGACCAGCAAAGTCGGCTATAAGTAGTTCAGCTATAGCATAATCAGAAGTTTGATTTTGAGTTTTGTAAGCATTAGCTACCATGGTCATTTTTTGAAGAAGGTTCATAATTTGATATTCTGAAAATCCATCAAGATTCCATTCATAAATAGAATTTGAGTTGTATTTATTTTGGATAATAGTGGGTTTCTCTTCGAGAGCTAAATCAGGTGCAGTGGGACGTGGGTAATACATCTTAGATGCAGAGGGTTAGTTCCATCGGAGACGATTGATTTCTGTTTCAATCTGACCTTCTAGGTCTTGAATTACTTCGGCTGGGTCATCAATGATTTGATCCTCGTTGCTCGTGGATTTTGAGTCAGAAATATAAGGAGTCTTAGAAATGGATAGTTGTGTAGAATGTTGTTTAAGACGTTTTTCTATTTCAAGCTTAAATTCGAGAGTGGATTCTTTAGAAACTTCAAAAGGTTTGAAATGGGGGAATTAAGTTTGTTGGAAGGAGGAATAGGAGTATTTGAAGTAGATGCAAAAGACAGAGGTAAACTGATTTCAACATTAGTAAGTTGATCTCTTAAGGTATGAAGAAATCGGTTTGTATAATTGTTTTGCTCAATCAGACGTTGAATATCTTCTCCTTTGACATGGTCACTATTTTCTCGTTTTAATTTAAAAGGAGAGCCTTGAACTACTGTTCCATAATAAGAAAAATTAACAGGAGCATTAGGGGGGGTGAATAGATTGGATCTTAGAGTTATTAACACTTAACCAAGTCATAGGCTTGGTTTGAACATTTATCGAAGATTGAGAAAAGACTTGTTCGAACCAATTAAAGAAAGAAAGGTGTTCTCGTATATTATTGAGAAAATCATAGAAAGAGTTTTGTATAAGTACATGTTCTTTCTTAGAGTAATCAGTAAAAAATTGCTCGAGTTTACAACGGTTTCGTTGGGAATAGAAATCATGGAGAAGAAATTCTTTGTTGATTTTGCACTCTTTTATAATGACATCAAGAGCAGAAGGGATTTCTTCTTCAGGAAATGCAGCTTGTGAGCTAGTAGGAGACATATTTGGTGTTCTCGACGTATTTATATTTGGAAAAAGAGTTGTGGGAGGTGGTGGAGTATAAACTGGCTGAGGTATGTTGTTGGAGTTGTTGATTCCTCGTAGACCATAGTTGAGTGTAGAGGAAGTATGTCGAGTTGGTGTAGGTATGGGAGAAAGATTTCTACAAGATTGGCTTCTAAGAAAAGTATTGGTGCGCTTTCGAGCAACTTCTGTCAATTCAGGGTCTATATCACAAATGCTAGAGATGGAGTTCCTAGCAAGAGAGATGTTAACAGTACCATCAATATGTTGAGTAATTTGATTAACCTGACGATGGTCGATGCTTCTGGGAATGGTAGCTCCTTCAAGGGTCCATTCTTTAGGAAGAGTAACTTCTCCCCATTTGATAGTCTTGGGAGTAACAGTGTTAGTACAAGTTAAATCACTTTGCCAAAGTATAGTTTCTCCTTTCGTACCATATTGAAGAGCTTTAGAAGAGAAAGCAGATTTCATAGCTTTATAGTGTAAGCGGTAAACCAAAGAGATAGGTAAAGATCCTTGTTGGATTTTATAGTTGAAAGTTTTTATTTGTAGGGTTAAAACATCTAAAATATTTTTGTCATGAAGAGAGACAGTAAAGTTTGGAAAAAAATTGAAGTAAATTGGGCCATTATAAAGACTTGATTCAACAGTTCCAAGTAAAGAGTCGTTAAACTCAAGAAATCGACAATCTCGTAAAACCATTAA